GACAAGAAAACAAGATAACAAGATTGAGTCTTCAGTGGGTAATGTATTATCTTTCAAATCTCTAGCAGAAAAACCTTGAAGCACTAAGGTTAGGTTAGGGCAAGATTAAATTGAGCATACCAAACTGGTTATGCAGTCTGCTAAGGAATGGGTCCATTCTCTCTCTCTTGCTCCAAGCTCTGCCACATGTAGCACCAAACTGGCAGCAGGGGGAGAGGCAGGTGGCCAGGTGCTCAGTAACTTGCATAAATACAAGATAGTTGGCTAGCAAGACTTGTTTCAGCTGCCCTATTTTTCCCCCTTTAGTTTTCCAGACTTGCATCACCCGTCTCTCCTTTCCACAAAAGCAGGTTATCTGTTTAGGCCCAAAGCCTACTACATCCATGAATTTCTGCAGAGCTCCTTTAAACTCATGGAAGGCTAAGCAAAACGCGTCTAGCAGTTTACATGAAATGACAGAATTAGGACCCTGTGTTGTAAACTCTTCAAGGTAGAGACCCTTCTAACTAGCATCCAGGAAAGTGCTTTGCCTGGTCTATAAAAAATTACATGTTGCTATCTTCTGTTATATTCGCTCCTGCTCTTTCTCTCCTTGCCTCTCCTATGCTCTTCAAGGATTTTCTCAGATTTGAAATGATCCAGAAAGCAAGACCCCTGCATCCTCAAACCTACAGGGCAACAGCAGTGGCATGGCTGGCTAGTAGCTGTGACAGTGGGTTTGCAGGGGTAGGGGGAGGAGTTGTGACTCTCCCTTCCCCTTTCCCCCAAATCAGTACCCGTGGCTGCTGCCCCAATCACCCCCCTACCACCCAGTTACACTACTGCTCAAGCTTTTCCCATTTCTGATGGATGTGCTCACTCATCTCCTGACAGAGAAGTCTTCAACATTTGCAACACAACTACAGATTTACATTTCAGAAAAGTCAATGCCTGGCTCAACAGGGAGTGAGGCATCCCATAGCTCAGCCTGAGAATCTGAAGATCTAGTTATTGGCTCCCTTGACAACTGCCCCAAACCCTACACTGCCAAAGAGCTTAGATAAGAAAGTTGATTGCTGCAGTACCAACTAAGAGGTGAGAGAGAACTTGGTGGATATGCCTAGACAACAGCACCACCTTCTGTCTCTGATCAAGTAGCCAGATCAGTCATGGCAAGGCTTCAACTAGTCTATTTATGGGAGGAATGAGGGCAGGAGACAAATTCAAGAGAAGAGTGCATGGGCCAGGGACAGAAATCAGATCACACCAATACCAAAGGAGCTCTTGTTACTACTAGATTTGACACAGAGGACTTCTATGCACTCTGCTGGGGTATGAATTGGCTACACTGGGACATTTTGGGGAAGGAAGAGAGGCCCTTTAAAAGACGAAAAGAAACTGCTAAATAATAAAGGGGAAAAATTATATCTCTGCAACAGCTGGCATTGCAGATGTTGGGTGGGGGTGGTCATGGTTTCTGGGCATCACAGCCACAACTGCCTCATGTCATTTTGCAAAGCTCCCCATGCAGGTGGATCAGGGATAGAGAAATAGGTCAATCCAACCCCCTGCTGAGACGAGAATTAGAGCAAACCCAGAAAGCAGCCTTACCAGATTAATCTAAAGATACTTGATCTAGTCAGTCTCATCATCAGCGGGTTTCAGGGTGGTCTGCTGAACAATTGAATGCATCCTGAACAAAATCCCACGTTCAGTAGAAAAAAGCAGAGCAATGAAAATCAGGGTATCTATGACAGACCCACCTATGGCATCATGGGGCATTTGCACTAATGATGCTATTGTAGAGCTGCTCAATTGATGGGGATTCACTCAGAAAAGTGCAACAACACAATTCAGTTCCATGGAAAGATGATCCAGTGAGCAGTGAGAAAGAAGGAGATTTAAAACTTGCTAGCCAACTTGGAACTAGATGACTCTTTGAATCCTGAGTTTTCTTTCCCACAACACACTAAGCACAACAGTATGGATGGAGTCAGAGGGTGAGTCTAGATGAGCATACACGTGGTTTGCAGCACCACAAAACTGTCTACAGCACTGCAAACTGCACATGCACCACAAATCCATGTGATCACTACACTGCTGATTTGCAACGTAGCAGTGTTTTTTTGGCACTGGGATCTTCCAGTGTAAAAAAAAACTCCACCAAAAACAAGCAGTGTGGTATACATGGAAGCAGCGTGCACCACCCAAAACCAGAGCCTGATTGGCCACAGACACACTGCAGCTGCTGGCCAGGTTCTGTGTGCCCAGACTGCTGCAGCTCTGGGAGGCCCCCAGGACCTCAGGTAAGACAGCTGGGGCCAGCACAACCCCATGTGCAGGGGTGTGCGCTGAGGCAAAAAGCAGTGGCACAAATTTGTGTTGCTGCTTTTTTCCCTGCAGCAACCACATGCCCCTGCTCATGAGGATGTGGCCAGAGGGTGCATCTATGTGAGACACTACTATGTACAGTATTAGACTTATTTAATGTGCACTAAAGCCTCATTGTCTACATGTATATAACCATTACTGTGCAGTATATTAGTCTAATGTGCCATTTTTTAGTATCCTTAGATACAGCTACTAGAAAAATGGTTCATTAACTAATGCATTGTACTGCATGTATAAACACTGATCAGGAGCAACTTGCTCCTGGTCAACCTAGGCAGCAGGGGGCCACAGGGAGCAGGAAGGTCCTGGCTTAGCTGAATGTTACCAGGCAGCCACATGGAGATCAGGACCCATCCCAATCTCCACATAGCTGGGAAAGCTGTCCCAGCTGCCACCCAGGTCCCAATCTCCACATGGCTGGGAAGAAGCTGTCTGGCAGCTGGGACAGCTTTCCCAACCCCACGGAGATTAGGATGGGTCCCAATCTCCATGTGGCTAGCAGGTAGCTGCCTGCCCACCTGTGTCAGTGCCTCCCCACCCCAGCTCCACTTGGGGCCAGGCTGATCTCTCTCCTCCTCCCCCTGCCCCCTTCCAGCTAGCTCCCCCCACCCTCTGGAGTTCAGGGCTAAGCCCTGTGCCTTCTGCCAGCCCAGAGATGGCACCCTGGACAGCCTGGAGCGCCCCCTGGCTGCTGTAAGGGGAGCACAGCAGGGCAGGAGCAGCCCTGAACTGGGCTGATCCTATTGGGCTCTATTTGCTCCCAACAGGGGCACGTGTGTATGTTTGCACTGGGGAGCATTTTAATGAGCCTGAATTTTCTGCACAGAAAGTTCAGGCATATTAATTGCACATGGAGACACACCCAGAGTGACTACCAAGCAGATGGGCATAGATTAGCTCACTAGGAACTAAGGTCTTCCCATGTTAACCACACAGAAAACAGGAAAAGGTCTGGTTCTCAACCTTTTTAGAAATAACACTATGGATTTCTCTTTGAAATCTCTGGGTTAATCTTGTGAATCATGTTTGTTCACCTAGCAGTACTCACACGGTGTAGCACCCATAAAATCACCTCAAGGCACTTCAGAGTGAGCTAATTTCCTATGCATATCTGCCATCCTCTAGGTCCAAGTTGGTTAGCAAGTTTTAAACCCCTTCCTTCCTCACTGCCCACCTGATCAAAGGAACACTTTCCTTTGGAAACAAATTGTGGTGTAACACTTCTGAGTTAATCTCCACCAGCTGAGCACCTCCGAAATGGTACCCTGGTTGAAAATAAGTGACCTAAAGAGAAGAGACCTTCTAAAATTAAGAGGATTTTAGAAAAACCCACAAACCAATCATCTCTATCCAGGCACATTTCCCCAGAGCATAGAAAAGGGTTGATTGTATACAAACTACCCGTATCTCTCTGTCTGAACACTGGCATCAGCTCACCAAAGATGAAAATCTCCAAGCCACTCCCTTTTCCCATCAAATTCACACAACTCTGATAAAATTTCTGAGCCTCTGCTCTGGTTTATTTCTCATAAACAAAAGGTTTGGGGAATGGTGGGGAAAAAAAGAACAGCACATTTTTTAAAACTCTGTTTTGTGCTACATTGGATAAATAAGTAAGCTTTAAAAAAACATTAGATTCATTTATTTACACACACACACACACACACACACACACGCACACACAACCAAAATAGAAATTCAAACTTGCAAGGGGTTATCCCTTCAACCCAATAAAGGGTATTTATTGGGTTTCGCAGCAAGCAAAAGCACCACAAGTTTTGTCTAAAAACTCTACAGCACAGTAAAGAGATCCTTTAGTGAGTTCTATACAAAACCAGCTTGGATACTGAAAGCAGTCTACCCTCAGTAGCTCTGTGTAGACCAATTTGGTATCTCTCCCAAATGCTGTAGCATGCAGTGCAGACACACCCAAAACAAACTGCTGCAGTTACACCAGTCTGGGTTGTAAGAGGCAAAGAAGGGAAACTAGCAAGAGCTGGAGACAAAGACTGAATTACAACACTGATGTAACTACAACATCTCACTTCTGTACACCTCTCTTCAGTGCCCTTATGGGGTCTCATTATATGTAGTGCTGATTCAGTATAATTCAGGGGTGGGCAAAATGGCAGATCTGGCCTGCGGCTAGACTCCATTTCACAGCAGGCCGGCTCTGGAGCAGCTCCCCACCCTTCCACATGCCCTGCCAGCAGGGGCAGCACTAGGGGGAGGCTTGTGGGGGGTGGACTATAGCCAGACGAAACTCCCTGTGGTCCCCCATAGCCAGCAATGCCACCACCGCTACCTGCCCTGCACATGCAGTGGCAGCTGAGCCTACCCCGTTTCCACCCACAGCACAGCCCCCCATCAGAAAGAGGCTGGCGCTGCTGCTGCCTGCCAGTGCTGCTGGGGTTGGTCTCCACAGAAACCCTGGCCCCATACTATCACAGTATGGCAGCTGCTGGGGTCTCCATGGAAACCAGCCCCAGCCACAAGGGCAGTGGCTGCTGCGAACTGGAGTCCACTGCCAGCTAAATGCAGCCCAAGGGCTGGCCCTTGCCCACCCCAGTATAACTCAAGCTCTGCAGTCCTCACTCTTGCTCATGTCTCTTGTGCTCCAAGCGCTTCTGTTTTTTTCAGATCAGACTGAAATGGGGGATAGTCCAGTTCAATGAACAGTAGAATTTGGAAGGGGAATATCTCTCAACCAAGAAGAGGTCCATGTTCAAACAAGCTAAATAAAAAAAGTGTTCTTAAAAAAATATGCAATAAAAAAGCCTGTTAAAATTCTGCAGACTTCTGGCAAGGGGAAAACCATTCAGATTTGGTAAGTTAGCCCACAAAATACGCAGGCTATTGAACCTCAGCTAGCAGGAAGCATGCAGTACAGATACCTGTCTAAAAAAATTTAAAAAAGAATTATGGGGTGATGGTGGAAAGAGGCCTATAACATTAAAATAAAGTATTAAGAAGTGGCAAGTGGCCATGAACCAAGCACCCCATTTATGCTACACGGTATGCTTTCAAGATTGTGAATTCCTTCCTGTTAGTGCGGGCAGCCCAAATGAATAGGGCAGCTGCCATGAACTGCAAAGGAGCTGAGACACAGGCCAGGCAGAAGGACCAGCCAAATTCACCCTTCACGCCATCAGGTAGGGGCAACTTCTGGTGGAGCAGCTCAATTCCAGCTACGTAGCAGCCAACCAAACCCAGCGTGCAGAGACCTGGGGAAAGAAACAGTACAGCAGAATCAGCTTACAAGATACCCTGGCTGATGCTGCTCTGTGAGGGAAAGGAGATGGTGTGTGTGTGTAACAGGACCCACCTGCAAGGAAATGAAGAACTCCTGTGGCGATGGCAGGGTATAGGCTGCGACAGGCACAAGCACAAAGCCCTATCAGAGCCCCAAAGCACATCAGGCCTAGACTGACAAAGGGCAGGAGGAACTGCAAACGCCAAAGATCTGTGAATGTGAGAAAGACACTGACATTTACCAGTATGTCAAAGATGAACTAATGAATGACTCTTCACCTAACTATGCTCATCCCATCCCCTTCAGCAGAGGCCTCCAATATTAGCTAAGAGCCAAGGGCTCCTGTGAGAAAAGGGGGACAACACTTCTTCCTGAATTAACAGCTTTCCTGAAGTAAATAAATAGAGTCCTTAGCCTCACCTTCAAATCAGGACCAATGCACAGTATGACTATATAATTTGCTGAGATATACAGGTCAAAACAGAACCGTATCTTTCTTTATTCTCTCACTAGTGCTGTGTCTGGAAGTGAAGACATTCTATCCATGGCCTGTGCATCTGAATTCTCTTGAAACTGTCCCTCATCATCCGCTTCTCTCTCACGCTGATCACTGTCATTCAGACCAGACGGCTTCCAGGACCAGAGCCGGGGAGGAGGAAGGTAGTGACACAGCCAGCACAGCGAGGGGAGTTCAGGACTCTCCAACACATCTACCAAAAAGCTCAGCCTCCTGTAGTGGGACTGCAAGAAACCACCATGGGTGGGTGCCTTTTTTGCACCTGGGTGGCAGCAGCTATAGTCATCCATCAAGATGGGTTGCCACGCTGGATGAGTATAGAAGTAACTTGTATAAGAAGAGCTACTCTGCAGCAGTCCTCCCCTCCCCTCCCACAGACATCCCAATTTAAGGGGCTCGTTTGCCTTCCAGATTTCTTCCTCTTGCAAAAAGCCTAGGGCTTCCAATGGGACACTTGTGTTTGTACACCAATGCCAGTAGCTTGGGGAACAAATAGGAGGAACTGGTCCTCTTGCTAAGCAAGAAAGACTATGATCTCATAGGGATAACAAAGACCTGGTGGGACTCCACCTATGACTGGACCACAGGTATAGATGACTATACACTGTACAGGAGAGATCATGTAGATAAGAGGGGCGGGGGTGTAGCTCTCTCTGTCAAGGAAAGCTACACATCCCTGCAAATTCATATTGGAACCCAGGGAGGATGACTGGAGTCCCTCTGGGTTAAAATACGTGGGGAATGTGGCACAGGGGACACCATGGTAGGAGTCTACTACAGACCTCATAACCAGAAACAAAAGTTGGACCAGGAATCTGTTTGGCAACCTATAAGTTTATCAGGGGTGTTCACCAGGACCTGGGGGAACGTTTGTTCACCAGAGCGCCCCAAGGGATTACAAGGTCAAACGGTTATAAACTCCTGCAAGACCGTTTCAGGCTGAACATAAGGAAGAACCTCTTTACTGTCCGAGGCCCCAAGGTCTGGAATGGCCTGCCGCTGGAGGTGGTTCAAGCACCTACTTTGAATGCCTTCAAGAGAAACCTGGATGTTTTTCTTGCTGGGATCCTATGACCCCAGCTGACTTCCTGCCCCTGGGGCAGGGGGTTGGACTTGAAGATCTTCTGAGGTCCCTTCCAGCCCTAATGTCTATGAAATCTTTTCCTTCCCTTTGTCCCACAGGTCTACCTGACAGAGGTGAAAAACACTTACAAGTCCGGTTCAAGTCTGTGCCACTATTGTGGTTCCCAGGTTCTATGTACTTTTCCATGAATTGATCAGAGAGGGAAAAACTGATGCACTTTGTGGTCATCTCATTTTCTGAAACAAAAAAGTAGCAACTGCTATTAGTCTATTTCTTTTAATTTAAACCCCTTCGACACCACCCCTCCACATCCCCAGCTTTTCTGGCATTTCTTTCAATTTGAGGAAATTCTTGTAACTTTGGTCCCTTAAAGACTAGCCACTCCCACCTATCCCATTGGTAGCATTGCTTCCTGGATCAATTCAAGTCACACTTTTCCAGCCAATGCAGGTATAGTGGACTCCTCTCCACAGATCTCCAGTCCTCATGCCTTCACAAGCACTATTTCTCCTTCTGGGAAGGATAAACAACCCTGTAATACTTTGGTCATGAGACGTTTCTATGAGTCACAATCAGTTTATTACTGTATGATGCAATACATAATGTACAGTAATAATGAAAAGTTTCACTGGCAATCTCCTGCCTACCTGGTTTTATAATCAGGTATTCAACCACTTCAGGAAGGCTGCTGGGCTGGTGGCAAATGCATCTAATATGTGAGCAGTGACAGCTATTAAAATATGTATCTTGGGCAGAAGAGAAGTCACTGAATTAAGTCCATTAAAAGTGTTTTTAGAACAAATGGAAAAAGGATATTGTAACACAAAGTGTTCCGCAGCAAAAACACAGGCTATTGTATTTTTCAAGACAGCGTTTCCTCACAGATCACACCAATTCCTTATGGGCAGGCTCCTTCCAACGTCCAAGTATTTAGTCATGCACCTGAATATATTTTTTACTATATATTGATGGATCATTAAAGCATATTGTGAACTCGTTTCACAGGGTGACTTGCAACAGAAATACAAAGAACCTCCATGTACATGCAGGTAAATCTAGAGATCTTTATCATGTTTAATGAAAACAACAGATAAGCATAAGTCTTGATACTTGTTAAACATTCTTAAGAGAAAACACGTTCATATTGCAACTGCACTTCTCACCACACAGCTCAAAACACCTGGTTAAACACTTCTAGTAAAATAAGCATTCCTTGTTAAAAAATTTCTATTTCTGCTACTCCTATTACAAATCTATGTAAAGGGGTCTTAGTTTCCCCCACATTGAGACTTTAAGCCCAAGGCTGATTTGAAGTTCTTCAAAAAAAAAAAAAGGGACTTTGAGGGAAGTTGGCTGTTGTATTTTCAACTAAGATAGTTCATTAAAATAGGATTTATTGAGAATTTTCCATAGCCAAGTGTTGTTTGGAAAAATATATTTATTTTTTTTCCTAGAAGGATTTTCATGCCTACCAACTTAAATGCCTACCACACTTCTGCTTTGCTTCTGATTACACTGTTTTCCTCCAAAAACGTAAAAAAAACTTTTAAAAAGTGCCTTAGGGAAGGGATAAGTGATAGTATTACCCACCTTCTGCATAGTAGTTAGAGCAGCCACCCAGGAAGTGGAAAATTTGGGTTCTAGGCCCTCCTTAACCTGAGGGATTAAAACCTGCATCTCCTGCTTCCCAGGTAAGTGCCCTAACTACTAGGCTAGACATTAACATGGGTGGAAGCACCTTCCACTTAACTAGGCCACTGTGTGGCCGAGAGTGCAGGATTCATGGCCTAGAAAGAACACAGCAAGAGAAATGCAATTATCACCCATTGATGAGAAGATTTCTGATCTGAACTCCATGCTGTTGACAGGAGATAGATATGCTCCAAGCATGCTTAACAGATCTGCTGCTGGGGAGATTCCCAAGTTCCCAGAGTGACCCATCTGTCTTACAAAAGAGCTTATGTGGGGTTAGATACTAAGCAAGCAAACTGGATTACTTCTGAGCATACACAATAGCGTGGAAAGAGCCTGCCCATGGGGGCCTTGGACCAGAATGGAGGCACTTACTGCGTTTTGGGTTAATCAGGATTGCTCTTTAGAATGTAACTCCCATCTAGGCAACTACAGAGTCCATCCAGATTTGATTCAGAATAGCTTCCTTCCCCTAGCTGGAAAAGAGCCTGATTGTGAACAAGCCCACATTTAAGTTAGTTCAAAGTAAGTGGAACCTTGACACACAAAATCGTGGCTCTGTAACACTCATGACAGCTATCAGACTTAACTTCTTGCTTCTTTAAAGATTTAGGATGGCTGTATTTAACAACTAGAGGAGTCAGGAATAACCTTTCTGGAGAAACAAGATTGCATGGATGTGTTCTAAGAAAGTTACCTTTGGTTCTAGGCAGGCAGGAGAGGCTGGGAAAGGGGGAAGTTGGGACATGACAGGTAATGTTCGATGGAGGATGGATTGAATATACCTGGTGGGCTGTACCAGTGTACGTTTTTGGGCACAGTGATACACCTCCGCCATAATCCAACAGTGCCATTGCATCGGAAAAGTGCATCCGTATATGTCTTCTCATCTGCATCATCGCTGATGAAGTCATCCACAATGATCTTGCCAAGTTCGCTGATGTTCTCAGCTGGGTTATGGTACTCATACCAGAAATCTGTGCCTATTGAAGCTGCCATGTAGATGGTGGAGATGAGGCTGAGTACGCAAGCAATTACTAGAGCTGTAGCAAAGCGGTTATCCATCATGGTGTCCCAACTGCTGGAAAAGAAAATATGAGAAACACAGAAGACCGGTGAATAATGACAGTAACTGCTTGGAGACACAACTAAGATTACTGTTCCTGCTGTTCTTGCCTTAGCCCCTGACCAGTCTCCCCCAGGATACATTGTAATCTCTCTTCTTTCCTTTGCTCAACACTGACAGTGAAGGACCAAGGGATATGTTTGCATCACTAGGCATCAAACAATTTGATGCGAGGCCTAGGAGTTTGAGGCAAGCAAACCTCCATTCTCCCACCCAGGACACTTGTCCAACCCAGACCAAGCCCTGATTACTTACACCTACACTGCTATTCACATTTGTTGACAGCATTTGTGGAAGCATGGCCCAGGTTTCTGAGCAGCAGAGGTTGCACAATCCTTTTAGCAACTGGCCTGGAGTGTACAGTGGGACACTTTTTTTTCTTTCCACAACACTCCTGAGTGCAGAAGTTATTTTAGCCTACTGTTATATGCAGCTTGGTCAGTTCTGCACATCTGACGTGCATTCATCTTACCTGCACTACAATGCAGGAAGTGCAGGCTAGGTGCACAACAAAAGGGTTCTGGGGAGGCCTGGTATTTATAGGCTTAAAGAAGCTGCAATCTTATCCCTCTGTGACCTGGCCTACCACTGGGGTGCAGGTACCCACTGCAACTCTGGAGGTCCTCCTTATCAGTTCCAAACATAGTTCATGACACCTGAAGCAGACAAGTGGCTGCACCAAACTTTTAATTATGCTCTCAGCAGTTACAGAATAGGGGTTAAACATACAGTTAGAAGGTTGAAGGCAAGATGGTGCTGCTTTCAAAAATACTTGAACATCATGAACACTGTACATATGACTGCCAGCTGCAACCTGTACAACATCCAGCTAGAAGTAAGCGTCTCCTCTGGAGTGCAGCATGGACAGTTGAATGAACTAGTTGAAAAGTCAATCAATTAGAAGCAATACTAGGCCCAGTGTCAAGGGAACCAAAAGTTAGAGAGGCCATGTGTGTTCATGCCCACACCACACACACGGTGTTTTTAATGAGCAATAGATTGCCAATGTATGTACAGTTTTATAGATATCAAAATGCTGTGGAATATCACAATCACGTAGATAGCAGAGTAGATTTTCACCTTAAAGACTAACTAAATCAGAGTCTATAAGGTGCAAATGTACCCTGACTTCAGGGTAACTACCTTTCTCATGTCATATTCTCGTAAAGTGCCTGCTTTACCATTTTGTTTAAACTTCTGGGCAAAGAGACTACTAATGCATACAGGTTATTTTGTGCCAAATAAAATATCAGTTTAAATTAACCTTGTGCCTGCTAGTCTGGGGGCAGGAGGTGCCATTTTATTGGTTAGCACAGACTGTTTGCTCTTTTTGCTAGTACTTCAGAGAGACCTTTCAACATTGCTGCAGCTTCCCATTTTCACCAAAAGGAGAGGTAAATAATGGCTGAATACACACAGAACACAAAACTATACAAGGGAAAACTTCACAACGCAATCAGCTCTGCTGGCCGCAAGCAGATAAGCAAAATGTGTTTTTAACTATGAAACAAGGTGCAACCTGGAAACTTGGGGTACAAATTAAGAGTAAAGTACAATAATACGCAATATCCAGGTAAGCTGCAAGGTTGCTAGTAGCTGCTGACAGAACCCCTTGTATTTTGTTTTCCTTTCCTGCTTCCTGTAGACATGGAAAGCCACTGTACAAGGGTCAAGCAAGAAGGGACTGTTTGCTGTCCCCGCCACCCCACAGTCAGCTTGGGCTATTCAATTCTTAGAGAACAGGAATGATCCCACCTTCAGAATGGCGTGGATATTATAGCACAGTCAGGGAAAGGGTGGCAGAACTGCAGCAAACCACAGTTCCTTGTGTTCAAACTCATTTGGAGAGGGACTTTGATTACAAGAGGCATACGTATTTCTGCTGGAAATAAAAAAGGAGTGGCATGGGCTTTTGCTGGCTGGTCCTGGACTGGAGTGCTGCAGAGCTGCAAGTCTGCATGTGGGCTGGCAGGCTCTTGGGATCTGTTCAGTACCATTACAAGCAGGTACTCCAAGTTCCTGGTTCTGCCTCTTTTCCCTAGTCACTTATTCCATGAATACACTTCTCTCTCTCCAAGTTTCTCTGTCCCTGTTCTTTCTGTGCCTATAGCAGCTCCATGCCAATATCATGCACAGCTCATATTTTATGGTCCCTGTAGCAAACTCCACATGTTCAGGTTCCTGGGCAGGATAACAGACACTTCACACCCTGAAGTGTTTTCAGAGAAAAAGTTTTCTTTAAAAAAAGAACTCCTTCCATGTTACTTCTTTATAAGGAGTTCACTGTTAGTCGCTTTTATATATTTCGGTATGCCATTCTCTTTCATCTGTGAACTTTCCTGCCCAGACTTCACAGATGAACAGTTAGCAAGACAACCCCCTTCTCCCCCTCAACACACATATTTTTATGAAGTATTTTTAAAAAGAGTTCATTAATTCAAAGGGACATCACATTGCTTATCCATGATATAGTTAGTTCCCTGTGGGACTGTTTCTTTGGAAGGAGACTTGCAAGGACAGAACTGACTTCTGGTGACTTAGTACTGACAGGTATGGTCAACGGAGGTAACTCTATAGCTTGCAGGTTAACAGTCAAATCCATTTCTACAAATTTCTTTGCAGCGTACTCTATGAACTGTGTGTACTTTTAGAAATCAGAGTAATGCATTAGAAAGTCAAGATATTTGGAGAGCTGTTATATAAGATCAAAGATGTGTGCCCAAGTACACTGCTTAAACCCCCACAAAAAACCCCCATCAATAAAACAAGACTATGAATCATTTAGCATGTGGCTTGTGAGTTTCATTCTCCCAGCCTTGACTTGGCAGCCATCTTGCATAAAAGGAAAGGAAAGAAGATTAAGGTGTTGAGTAAACTCTTTACATTGCTTCTGTCCTGAACAGAAGCTGATCACACCCCAGGGAGCTCCCAAATCCTTACTAACCGTGACTGCATATGAAAATCCCTACACCCTGAAGCAACGAACATGGTAGGCAGCACTTGTAAGGCATAAGCTCTGGTTACTCTGCTGCTACTTCAGTTTCCAACTGCACTAGGTCTCAAAGTATTCCCCCAGAATGACCAAGGGAATAAATTTACTGAGCAGGCTGTTCTGGTTTGGCCATGGGGTGGGGTGCTATCATCAGTTGTAACCTGGGCACCCTCTGCTTCTTCCTCACTCCTCTCTCCCTCTCCCACCCCTGCCCAATGCTACCACGCAAGAATGGACTCATCAGTGAATCTGGTGCTTTGACAACTTCCGAGCACCTACCTGACCTCTGCAACCATGTGTAGGGGCCAAAATGGAAGCATTACTGGACCTTTGCCTTTCAGTGACAGAACTGCCACCTGGATCTGTATATGCCCAGCTCAACCAACTGGTTCAGGATTGTGCTCTACTTGCACAATATTGCTCTAAGCAATATCGCACTTGCAGTGATCCCTCCAGATATTCAGCAAAGCATATATAGGCTCCTCTGGCCAACTAACTAGACATGAAAGTATATCCTTAGATTGGGAAAACTGGGGTTTGCTGGCAAGCTCCAAATGGTAGGACTGTGAGGGAAAGCCTGAGGAAAATGAAAAGTTAAACACTGAGGACAGTGTTAAAAAGTACCATCCAGCTTCAATGAAGTAAAAAGTGAAGGGAAAGGTACGCAGAAGGGTCTGGGACACAAGAAGAAAGAACAATGGGAACATCAGTATTCAAGTGCTGTGTCACGCAGCTACTTGTAAAGTGGCTGGAGAGAGAGGTTATGAGTAGTTGTGGCAGGGAGATTTCCAGAACCTAAGTGCTCAGGCTGCATGTGAATACAGAAAACAAGTAAAGAGACTTTCAGTGGGAACTGCAGGATGGGAAACCCATATACAGATTCACAGAAGTTTGGGGTTGGAAGGGACCTCATGAGGTCATCGGGTCCAGCCCCCCTGCTCTGGACAGGAAAGACTGCTGGGGTCAAATAACCCCGGCAAAGTGTGCACCCACTCTCCTTTTAAAGATCTCCAGGGTAGGTGCCTGTACCACCCTGACCGGGAGTTTATTCTACAGTCTGGTCACAGGAATTGTGAAGAAATTTTTCCTTATACTGAGTCTGAAGCTTTCTTCTAGGAGTTTATGACCGTTGCGCCTGGCTTTCCCCTGAGGTGCTTTGGAGAATGGTTGTTCACCTACCCCTAATGCTCTCTGCTGATATATTTGCAAGCTGCCACAAAAGTCTCTTTTCTAGGCTAAACAGTCCCATATCTGTCAGCCTTTCTTTGTATGGCTTGCTCTTCAGGCCTCTAATCATAAAAATGGCATACACATACTTTGCAGTTCATACCAACCCATCCTGCTCCCTGAAGCCTCAGCTGATTATAAAGGAACAAAGGATTCAGTAGACACTTAAGATGAATGTTCAACCAGAGTCCTTTCTGCCACAGACATTAACACACACATACATACATACACCCTCCCTACATTGCCTCATCCTCGTTTGCCACAAGTATCCACCCACACTCATTTACACTAAGTGTTTTCAGCTATCTAAGATACAATCATGCTTTCAGCCCCAGGCAGAACTAGGCAGGACCAAGAAGCAGCTATCAGAAAGCAAGAGCACAAATAATACAATGTATACTTTTCAATGCTTATGCCATACAAAGGCTTATAGAAAGTGTAAGTTATGTGCAAAAGTATATAGAAAGTATTTTAAGATGAGATTTAAATACAAATGACTCTGATACTAGGAAGGGCAGAGGGAATTATCAAGATTAATATTAAACAATAGGGATTCGCACTTTTTTGGCTTTGTCAACAAAGATTTCAAACTGCTCTACAAAAAAAGGCATGTTTATACAAAGTCAGGTCATGTACAGTATGAGCTGTGGGAAACAAGTTATGAAGAAGCTTACTCTACAGAGCACAGAAGAACAGATGCTTAACTTTAGGAGGACCTGGGCACTGAAGCAGAAATGCCTGACAAAATATTTGGTTTTTAAGGTGCAGTTTTTAAAAGTAAGGGAAGCAGATTGACCTATGTGGACCATAACTGTCAGGAGAAGAGTGAAAGGATAAAGGAAAATTTTTAAAAAAGAGGGTGGAAAGGCACTGGTGTTTAAAAAGGGGAAGTTATGGTCAGACTAAGAAAGGAAAAGTTATTTTAAAAATATAACTTTAGTAGTACTGGATAATAAGAGAGACTGAGGTATAGAAGGCCTGTGAGAACGTGCACACAATACAAGCCAAGTATTAACTACTTGAGTAGGACCAGCAGCGCAACCTAACAATAAAGAGTTTTAGAACCATCTAGCCAGAATTTACACATTTTTCCTACCTGAAAATTCCTTGTAATACTGAAGGAAAAATGCTTTGTTACATATGACATGTACTCAGGGCATTGCTTTTATACCCATTAACAGACTACTCTAGCCAACATGAGGGAAGGGTTGTGCTTCCCTGTACTGCGCCTCCTGGTACTAATGCCCTGGAGGGTAGCTCTCAGAAAAAAATGAAATGCAGCCAATACTATGAAAGAACCCAGGTTATCACAGACCCTCATCATTTAATTGTCTCTTGCTTCTTCTAGTGCACAATGACAAGTGACTCTTATACTGACTGCAGTGATTCATTAGTCATTTTGGAAAAGGAGGAACACCATGAGATTCCTGTATTCACGCTCTTTTCCTCCAACTCTTACAACGTGGTGGATTCTTCATGTACATCAGGGGTGGGCAATTATTTGGACCCAGGGGCCACATACAGAGTTCTCATGGGTTCTTGTGGGCTGGGTCAGCACCTTTCACCCCACCCCCCAACAACACACCAAAACTCCCTACATGGCATGGGTGACATGGGGCCACGGGCTGGAAAGGAAGACTGGTCAGAAGCAAGACAGGCAGGCGAGGCCAGGATCATGAGGTGGGGTCTGTGGGGTCAGCCCCTGTCCTGTGGGTGGGGAAGCTAGTGGGGGGGGGGGGGGGG